TCAGTTTGCCAAAGTTGGTGTTGTGACTTTGTCACCGACCCGAGGCCTTTAGTTGCGGCGACGGTCAATAGATGGCGTCTGGTTTTGACGTCTATTTTAACGGGAGAGGCGACCCTTGTCTCTTTATATATATATCATCAGACAAAAATAAAATGAATCGTAGTCACGGGTCAAGGTGTAATACTTACTCAATCTGTCTTTCTAAGAAATCGACGCCGATGGTCTTCTTGTACTCATTGGTGAAGATGCCTTTGCAGTAGCTCTGGATCATACTGGACTTTCCAACTGCACCGTTGCCCACGACCACCACCTGCACAGATGTCCCGTCAACTCAACTGGAAGCAGCACAGTTATGTCAGGTACTGTCACTGATGTCCCCCGTGTTATGACCGGGAAAGATGCTATGAACGTTCGCTCGGTTCCTAACACGACCTTTCCACCAGATTCCTAAATATCCGGTAACCTTCCGGGTTAGTTACTTTACTAGCCGAATGACCCGGGCAACGCCCGGGTTTTACCCGATTAAATGCTTTTATTCAAATACTATTCGTTACAATTATAAATTGGCGCCGTGGATGTTATTCTTGTATAATATATAAATGAGTTTTAAAAATTGTAAAAAAAAAAAAATGCATCGGCCGGGAATCGAATAAATAATATATAAATGAGTTTTAAAAATTGTAAAAAAAGAAAAAAAAAAATGCATCGGCCGGGAATCGAACCCGGGGCGCCCGCGTGGCAGGCGAGCATTCTACCACTGAACCAAAAGCAAACGGTGACAGAATTAAGAACGCATGACGCTGATAACTGTATATATTAATTCTTCTCATAATGAATACAAAATACTACACATAACACTTTCTTGAAAATAAAGATACTTCGGCCAGTAAATCATTATTTTCAAGAACTACGAATGCCAGCCAGGCAGCCTCTAACTTCACGATACACATAACACTAGTCTACAGAAAGCAGTTTTTATTTACTCCAAAAGAAACAATATCTGATATTAAATATGACTTTTTTGTGCTGATACCAAATATACCATATAACAATATACCGCAAGGTTTCTGAGTGATAACCTTTTAAAAAGATTTTAATTACATTACTGGCTGTTGTTGGCCGGTATTGTGATCAGGGTGCATGGACCGATCTGATCTGCTCCATGGACAAGACACCACCACCTCAGTTAGCTGGTATTGTGATCAGGGTGCATGGACCGATCTGATCTGCTCCATGGACAAGACACCACCACCTCAGTTGGCCGGTATTATGATCAGGGGGCATGGACCGATCTAATCTGCTCCATGGACAAGACACCACCACCTCAGTTGGCCGGTATTATGATCAGGGGGCATGGACCGATCTAATCTGCTCCATGGACAAGACACCACCACCTCAGTTGGCCGGTATTGTGATCAGGGTGCATGGACCGATCTGATCTGCTCCATGGACAAGACACCACCACCTCAGTTGGCCGGTATTGTGATCAGGGTGCATGGACCGATCAAATCTGCTCCATGGACAAGACACCACCACCTCAGTTAGCTGGTATTGTGATCAAGGTCACGGACTGATCTTATCTGCTCCATGGACAAGACACCACCACCTCAGTTATCTGGTATTGTGATCAGGGTGCATGGACCGATCTGATCTGCTCCATGGACAAGACACCACCACCTCAGTTGGCCGGTATTATGATCAGGGTGCATGGACCGATCTGATCTGCTCCATGGACAAGACACCACCACCTCAGTTGGCCGGTATTATGATCAGGGTGCATGGACCGATCTGATCTGCTCCATGGACAAGACACCACCACCTCAGTTAGCTGCTATTGTGATCAAGGTCACGGACCGATCTGATCTGCTCCATGGACAAGACACCACCACCTCAGTTAGCTGGTATTGTGATCAAGGTCACGGACCGATCTTATCTGCTCCATGGACAAGACACCACCACCTCAGTTATCTGGTATTGTGATCAGGGTGCATGGACCGATCTGATCTGCTCCATGGACAAGACACCACCACCTCAGTTGGCCGGTATTGTGATCAGGGTGCATGGACCGATCTGATCTGCTCCATGGACAAGACACCACCACCTCAGTTGGCCAGTATTGTGATCAGGGTGCATGGACCGATCTGATCTGCTCCATGGACAAGACACTACCACCTCAGTTGGCCGGTATTGTGATCAGGGTGCATGGACCTATCAAATCTGCTCCATGGACAAGACACCACTACCTCAGTTGGCCGGTATTGTGATCAGGGTGCATGGACCGATCTGATCTGCTCCATGGACAAGACACCACCACCTCAGTTGGCCAGTATTGTGATCAGGGTGCATGGACCGATCTGATCTGCTCCATGGACAAGACACTACCACCTCAGTTGGCCGGTATTGTGATCAGGGTGCATGGACCTATCAAATCTGCTCCATGGACAAGACACTACCACCTCAGTTGGCCGGTATTGTGATCAGGGTGCATGGACCGATCTGATCTGCTCCATGGACAAGACACCACCACCTCAGTTGGCCGGTATTGTGATCAGGGTGCATGGACCGATCTGATCTGCTCCATGGACAAGACACCACCACCTCAGTTGGCCAGTATTGTGATCAGGGTGCATGGACCGATCTGATCTGCTCCATGGACAAGACACTACCACCTCAGTTGGCCGGTATTGTGATCAGGGTGCATGGACCTATCAAATCTGCTCCATGGACAAGACACCACTACCTCAGTTGGCCGGTATTGTGATCAGGGTGCATGGACCGATCTGATCTGCTCCATGGACAAGACACCACCACCTCAGTTGGCCGGTATTGTGATCAGGGTGCATGGACCGATCTGATCTGCTCCATGGACAAGACACCACCACCTCAGTTGGCCAGTATTGTGATCAGGGTGCATGGACCGATCTGATCTGCTCCATGGACAAGACACTACCACCTCAGTTGGCCGGTATTGTGATCAGGGTGCATGGACCGATCTGATCTGCTCCATGGACAAGACACCACCACCTCAGTTGGCCGGTATTGTGATCAGGGTGCATGGACCGATCTGATCTGCTCCATGGACAAGACACCACCACCTCAGTTGGCCAGTATTGTGATCAGGGTGCATGGACCGATCTGATCTGCTCCATGGACAAGACACTACCACCTCAGTTGGCCGGTATTGTGATCAGGGTGCATGGACCTATCAAATCTGCTCCATGGACAAGACACCACTACCTCAGTTGGCCGGTATTGTGATCAGGGTGCATGGACCGATCTGATCTGCTCCATGGACAAGACACCACCACCTCAGTTGGCCGGTATTGTGATCAGGGTGCATGGACCGATCTGATCTGCTCCATGGACAAGACATCACCACTACCATTTACATTACTTCCATGTATCTGTCCAAAAATATTATAATCAATTTTAATATACTTTCAGAGAACGTAAAAATCTGAAAATGTGTACACTTTTTATAACCTGATGACAATAAAATATTCCCTAGCATAAATGCTACAAAAATTAAAGAATACATTTTATTTTGACCTTAGATTCGCGAATTGTTGCAGGATTGGAATTTTGAAGATAGCTTAAATGAAGTTGAAAATGCAACATGGAATTCTTTTAGAAACGTTAGGAAGATTTTTTTTGGGAAATGTTAAACCGAAAGCTAAAACGTCATTTGATCTTATTTACCTTGTAGTTCTAATCTATAATCCAAATTGGGCCTTATCATATATCTATTAATATTTGGAGAATAAAAATAAGTGAGACACATGGAGTAAAAGATAACGAAAATGTTTATATATAGATTGCTTACCTTTAGTTCAGTAATTTTGGAGGAGATTGCTTAAAACTTTACAACTGAAAACTCTATTAGTGTATTATCTATATATGTGTGTGTGTGGAATATATGCGGGATTATATTGGAATCAGTTTACTGAATTAAAACAGAGATAAACGATATATTGACTTTTGGCAACTTTTTGATTGTAAAATATGAAAATAGGAAAAAAATATGTTACAAAACTATACTTACAATCATGATAAAAGTGATTAATAACTGAATTAGAAAAACGAAATATTTAATGAAATGAGAAAACAATAGAAAAAAAAAATAAAATGGTCAGGTGTTGATATTAAAAATAATGAAGGCATATCTCCTGACAAAAAGCACATGTGCTTTTTAAGAAGGCAGAGCGCCATCTAGTGGAACATAAATTAACTAAACATCGATTTATCAAGAAAATGGGTTGGCTAAATATCAGGGAACAGGTTAAATCAATGTTTAGTTCATTTCTTTTCCACTAGATGGCGCTCTGCCATCTAAAAAGCACATGTGCTCCAAACATGGCCAGGAGAGATATGTCTTCATTATATTTAATGAAATGCAATAATACCCAACAAACGCACATTATTTTAAAAACAAAACAATTTGAGGTGATGATAATTAAATAAAATAAAATTTGAAAGCAAAAAATCTACGATTGGAAAGTTGAATAAATTAAAAAAAAAGGGACGAATACTAATATTCAGAGAATAAAAATAATGTGGCACATGAAGTAAAAAATAACTAAAATTTTGGTATATAGATCGTTATGTATAGTTGAGTATCTTTGGAGGAGATTGCTTAAAACTTTACAACTGAAAACTCTGTTAATGTATTATCTATTTGAAAGAGACGCCTTTTTTTTTCGTATTTCTGAAGGAATCTGGAGAAACAAGTTAGAAAGGACACACTGTTTTCTTTATATGCTTAAAATATATGGCTAAAAACAAGAATCTAATTAAAGTAAACCAGACATTAAGGCATTATAATACAATATAATGCGGCTTATGATTGTAGAACGAAGTTTGACAACTATACCGCATATGTTTCTTTTGAACGAAAAATCGAAATTTATTTTAAGGAGAAATAACGATTATTTCTAATCTTAGGGATGAAATATGAAAGGACGAATTGTGAAGAGTAATGACAAACGGAAAAATAATAAAGTGTCCAGGGATGTGGCATGGTAAGTGGACATGGCATCTGCCCAGTAAGCGGAACACTGTGGGTTCGCTTCCCATCCTTGGACACTTTATTTTCCGTTTATCATTATTCTTCACAATTCATCCTATCATTTATTATTTATTTAACAGTTGCAAAGACACGCCATATCCACAATTAGGATAATTACGTGTAAATCTGAAATTATATACAAATCAAATCATCGTGAAATTAACATAATTAAACATTCGATGTCAAATTTTGCATATAATAATTAGAAATAGTAGCTTGAAATATGTACACCGTGTGAAATATGTACACAAAATTGCCATTTACAAAAGTTAGAACAACGTGTAGACTAAGTAAATTAATCACATCCAATGATTACATCAGAACGAGTCAGTGGCCAACATCAATACTTTCGCCTTGAAATATACAGCCTGCAGAATTTATTAAACTTGATGTATTGGTCTTTATTGTCAGGTCTTATCATACTTCATCCCTAAGGTTAGAAACAATCGTTATTTCTCCTTAAAATAAATTTAGATTTTTCGTTCAAAAGAAACATTTGCGGGATAATTGTCAAACTTCGTTATATAGGACTTGGAAGATCTAAAAAAGAATTAGGAGGAAGACCTGGGAAAATGGTGTTCAAATTTTCCCTAAGTTTTCTCTCTACGCCTAAATATATAAAGTAATAAAAGAGTCGGGTGTTGAGTTTCCTCCTGTTTATATTTAGTGTGTCAATTAACTTGATGAAATAGATCCCCCTTTCGTCGTCTACATTTCATCCCAAGTTTCAAGCCATACATCCGGGTTTTAGAAACACCTATAGGGAAGCGTTAGGTATATTTGTTTGACACCGATCCGTAATTATTTATGTAATTTATGTTTTAGGAAGTGATGCTAGGTGATAATTTGTTTACTACGTATTTAGGTTTATATATGTATGTCGCAGTGGTACAGCCTACTCCACGCTGACGAGCGCCAACAGCGCGAAACGCGTTCGTGGATGGCTTTTATTGATTTATAAAGAAAATGGGTTGGCCAAATATCACTGGGAAAGTTAAATAAATGTTTTGTTTATTTTTGATCCACTAGATGGCGCTTTGCCATCTAAAAAGCACATGTGCTCGTGGTCAGGATATGCTTTCTTTATTTTTAATATCAACACCTGACCCACTTTTTTTTTCTATTGTTTTTTTTTTTCATATGTATATATAGTTTGTCTGTTTGCCTGGTACTTTTATATTTATTTTTAGAAAATATATGGTTAGAAAAAAAGTGCTTTTACCGACGTCTAGATAAGAATGTTATCCTGGAAAAAAAATTGTTGTCGAAACAGAAAAAAATATTCTCCTTGCTGACGGTTTTTTTTTTTTCAAAATAAATATGTTTATTCGTCACAACATATAGTGGAACTACTGATGGGACGTTTTTATAAGGAAGTCTGTGGAAGGATGGTCTAAACAATTGGTTTTCGAACGCTACGAACCGGGTTCGATTCCAGGATTAGGCTTCTTTTTTTTTTCTTCTGATTGAAAAAAAAAAATGTTCTAATGGCTCTTGATTCTTGCAAAAAAAAAATAATAATACTAATGGGACGTTGATGGGAACATACCGCTGTTATTCCACCAGAGGTGGAGATACAGCACAACGACACATGGAGAAATGGATGGTTGAAGTCAGTATCTACTGATCCAGCATAAATCTACAGTAGTAGAAAGACACACTATCGATGTTTGAGGTCTAGGCCATGTTGATCATAGCCATTAGTGATGGATGGTTGTTAATTATCTATAATGGTTTCTTAACATGCGGAAAGCCGTTAAACTTTACATTTAGATCCCGCTTTGATTCTCTTGTATTTAATTTGGTAGAAAGACCTTCCACACGAAAGTTCTACAGGTTATCTCTAACCTGGTTTGTCCTAACCCACAATTCTCAGAAACGACCTCAAGATCGAAAATATACAGTTTCATTCAAATTTTATAGTCACTCAATTTGTCACCTCACACAGAAATTCTATAAATACTTACATAAGAGAGGTCTATCAGAAACATCAAATTGTTCCTGCGGAAAACTCGAATAAACTTCTTTTCACCTCATCTACGACTGTCCGAACTTTACAGAAGTAAGACATCGTTTGTTTCCTGATTTAAATGATCTAATTCTTTCACCTCAGCCACTTTGTCTATATAAATTTTATGAACTCTGTAGAATAATACATGTAAATTTGTAAATATTTAATTCTAAGTCTTAATTGTTCGCTCTTTTGTTACCTCTGTATTAGGTGCAAATATTTCAATATCGCGCCTGGTTTATAAATAAATTAATTTTAAAAAAAGAAGCTCAAAACATGCATAATTAACGAGAAATTTCGAATATTAAAAAATAATAATAATAATAATGTTTAACATGTGGGGAACTTCAAGTAGAATCAGTTGATTGTAATTGGCGTAGAAGCAACAGGAACTACCACGCGTTCAACAGTGAGATTCATATTAAATTCAGCCGTCTAATTTGTTAATGAAATAATACTTCAACCGGTATGTCGCACGCAGTTTGTTTCAATTTAGTGTCTTGTTTTTTAATGAATAATTCTTGAAGTCGCGAAACTCGACCGATCTACAGTATGTAAATATACAATGGCATAGATACCGATGTAAAGGCAACAACAAAAATCTTTATTAAGACCTTTTAAATCTTATACAGATTCTCCAAAGCAGATATCTTATATACAATATAGTATAATGCGGCCCGTGATTGTAAAACGACGTTTGAAAACCATCCCGCATGTGTTTCTTTTCAAAGAAAAATCATAATTTATTTTAAGGAGAAATAACGATTATTTCTAACCTTTAAGATGAGGTATGAAAGGGTGAATTGTGAAGAGTAATGATAAACGGAAAAATAAAAGTGTCCAGGGATGGGAATCGAACCCACAGTATTCCGCTTATTCCGCTTGATTTTTCTTTGAAAAGAAACACATGCGGGATGGTTTTCAAACGTCGTTTTAGATATATTATATCAACAACAACAACAACTTTTTAATGACCTTTTATTCCTATACAGATTTTTCAAGCAGAAATATTATATCAACAAAAAGCATTATTAAGACTTTTTAGTCTTATACAGATTCTCCAAGCAGAAATCTTATATCAACAACAACAAAAAGCTTTATTAAGACCTTTTAGTCTTATGCAGATTCTCCAAGCAGAAATGTAGGATACATGCAGGAAAAAAGTAATAGTACCTTAATGGTAATATGATATTTATATACAGGATAAATTATATAAAGACAATCAAGCTAATAGATTATTCTGGGTATATTGAAGGAAAAGAAATTTATTATACATGGATTTACCGCGGATTCACCGCAAATGAAGGTAAAAAAGAAAAAGATAATCACAATCAATATTGAGATAATGAAATTTATTCATTGCAATTAAGACAATTGAGTTCATAAACATAAAGGCAAATTTAATAGAACTGTGGATAACTTTGGCACAAGTTATCTCTGTCGTATTAACAACTCTCTCACCCCGGTCTGTGCCCTTGGTTCTATCGCCACATTTATCATCAGTATGCAAATCTGTTCTCTATGTAAATAAGATACATAATTACATATACATGTGGTTGAATTACTTCCTCCCTTGTCATACCATCATTAGCCTGGAAATATATTAGTGAAAAACCATATAAAAGCAGTAAATTAGAAATAAGATCGCATTTTTACAAGAATTTTAACGCACCAAACGTTTTTAAAATATTGAGAAAGATTATGTTATGAGTAAATATATTTCTATATTTACAGTCTTTATATTTTAATATATAACATGGATTCTAATTTAGCATTGCCTCTACATTTAAGCTTACTTTTGTAAGTTTGTGCTGAAAAACGAGCTCACAGGTTTTAAACTAAATTTTGTTGAACACACAACACTATTTCTACTCCCTATCATATTATGGGTTCACTTTTTTTCTCTAAAACACCAGAACTTGAATAATATTCCAATACTGTGAGAAAACAAGACAATCCATGTGTGAAAATAATCCTGTAATAGCATTGCCACACTTCAACTTTTGTTGAACACACAACACTATTTCTACTCCCTATCACATATTATGGGTTCACCTTTCCCTCTAAAAACACCAGAACTTGAATAATATTCCAATACTGTGAGAAAACAAGAATATCCAAGTGTGAAAAGTCTTCCTGTAATAGCATTGCCACACTTCAACTTTTGTTGAACACACAACACTATTTCTACTCCCTATCACATATTATGGGTTCACCTTTCCCTCTAAAAACACCAGAACTTGAATAATATTCCAATACTGTGAGAAAACAAGAATATCCAAGTGTGAAAAGTCTTCATGTAATAGCATTGCCGCACTTCAACTTTTTTTGAACACACAACACTATTTCTACTCCCTATCATATTATGAGTTCACTTTTTCTCTAAAACACCAGAACTTGAATAATATTCCAATACTGTGAGAAAACAAGAATATCCAAGTGTGAAAAGTCTTCCTGTAATAGCATTGCCACACTTCAACTTTTGTTGAACACACAACACTATTTCTACTCCCTATCACATATTATGGGTTCACCTTTCCCTCTAAAAACACCAGAACTTGAATAATATTCCAATACTGTGAGAAAACAAGAATATCCAAGTGTGAAAAGTCTTCCTGTAATAGCATTGCCACACTTCAACCTTTGTTGAAAACACAACACTATTTCTACTCCCTATCATATTATGGGTTCACTTTTTTTTCTCTAAAAACACCAGAACTTGAATAATATTCCAATACTGTGAGAAAACAAGATAATCCAAGTGTGAAAAGACTTTCTGTAATAGCATTGCCACACTTCAACTTTGTTGAAAACACAACACTATTTCTACTCCCTATCATATTATGGGTTCACTTTTTCTCTAAAACACCAGAACTTGAATAATATTCCAATACTGTGAGAAAACAAGACAATCCAAGTGTGAAAAGACTTTCTGTAATAGCATTGCCACACTTCAACTTTTGTTGAAAACACAACACTATTTCTACTCCCTATCATATTATGGGT